CGTTGGCCGCATGTCTTCCTCGCCCCCAAAGGGAGAGCAAACGATCGAAATGCATGGAACGTGGAAGAGGCGAGCAAACGCATGGCGTTGCTGTTCAAGATCATGTTCCACTGTGCCCGATATGGACGTCGTGTACGTGAACAAATCTTGGCGTTCGGGATCAACAAGGACATTGATCGCAGCAGCCTGACATGCATTGACAACAACGTCAATGCGGACACGCCTATTCCCGACGAGGGGCTATTGCTCTATCCAGTTGCAGTTCGCGCTCCAACAGGGCACAAGGAGGGATCCTCCAGAGACGACGTCTTGTTGATGTCCTCCTTGCTCTCGCATCCGATTGCGCCCAATACCATCGTGTCAATGCCGGTTTGCTTCCACATCACGAAGAAGACCAACCTTCGAAGCATTTGGAGGGAAGGACTGATTCCTGGAGGTCTTGGGGAAGGTCATCGTATGTTCACGTTCTTCAACCCATACGTGCCATGGGATCATCGCTCATGGACTATCACGAAGAGCGTTGACACACGAAAAGGGGACTACATCTGCCTCTACATCCCGACCGAGACCCTGATGGTGGAGTACGGTGGTCGATTGACGGATTCGGGACAGATCGTTACGCCAAAGATCATCCCGTTCTCAGCGATCAGAGGAGGATGGATTCAAGATCCAAAGGATCAAAACAACAAGATATGGCACCGGTTGTTCGTTCCGTCGGGCGACGACCAGGTAGTCCGGTCAGGCACTATCAAGTCAAGAACTGTCGCCACCAAGGAGTCCATTCTAAGGATCGCAAGTCAGTGCATCGACGCCGAAAAGCAACCGTATGACGAGATCACCATGGATGCAATGAACATCGTCCACCAGTTCAGGAACAATCTAATTGAAGAGGGTGGACAAGAACAATACCTCGCCCGCATCAAGCTGGTCGACTACATCGTCGAGTGCAAGAGGGTGGAAACTTCAGGTTGCCGTCATTGCCCTCATTGCCTCAATGAGACGCCAACGAAATTGGCAGTATGTCTAGGATGCTGGACAGAGCTTGAGAGCTGTGGAATTCGACCTTATAGATTACAAGCCCCTGAAGACGATGAAGACGAAGCCACCAAGAAAGAGATCGACGAGGAGGTTCGCCGACAGGAAGAATCGTTGTTCGAGGATACGGTCCACCAAGCACAGGAAAACGTACCTGAACCCAACGATTATGGCTTCAATCCTGACGAAGTCGACTACAACGAAGGCGATGACGAGGAAATGGCTCAGGAGGAAGAGACTCAGCAGGAAGACGACGAGATCGTTGAGGAGGACGATGATGATGACATGAACGTCGAACCTGAGAAAGAGGCTTCAGACAACCTGCCAGTATGGACCAAGAATCTTGTGCCTGGAAGCAAGGGTTTGCCAGGAGATGGACTAGTAAACAATGATGTCTCCGAGGCCGCGGCTCACTTGTACGACAATGCCGTGATGTCAAAGATCATCGCAATGTTCAGACTCTACTACAACCAGAGAGTCAATTTGACCCCAGAGGAATACTATGCGTTGATGACAATCACCAAGCGAGTCCGACTGGACCTGGACGACTTCTGCCCCTACACGGGCGAAGATCAGGACGGCAAACTCAAGCGGCCGACTGAGCAGGAATTGGACGCACTCTTTCAGGAGAAAGGGAAGACGAACTCATGGTCAGAGGGAGAATTGATGTACTCTGGGCGGCCGAGAAACATGATGATGCCTGTCATCAAAACTCTAGAAGTTTACGAAAAGATGATGGAGTTTCTCATCTGTGCCGGGTACACTCCCGATTCCTTAGGTTTCCTCATGCCAATGACGAAGATGCAGGGAGATGCAAAGGAGAAGCAGGAGATGAGGGTGACCATTAGCAACTTCCTCCGACGATTGATGAAGGGAACCTTTCCCGAATATGAGTCATACACCTTCTTTCGTTCCGGGAGCCACGGCTTCCCCAACTGCATTGAACTCCCAGCTTTCTCGGTATATCTGAGTCTGAGAGAAAGGGAACAAAGGGTGGAACTACTTTTCGCTGCCCAACAATGCGGTATTCCATTACCTCGCAACTTCATCGGCAAGATGGCTTACGCCATTCAATTCGCTGAATCCGAGGCGATGAGGGGAAAGTCCGAAATGAAAATAAAGATGGCTCCGAACCTGGGGGACGAAGTGGTAGGTGAAGTATTCAAAGCAGTCGGGGACAGTGCCAGCACCAAGCGTGCTGCTGCGGACGCGAAAGCCAGATCATCAACACAGCCTTCACAGAAACCTGAAGATACTGGTTCAGCGTCATCATCGGCCAGTGCACCAAAGGCTAAGGCATGCCGAAGTCTTATGGACCACCTAAAGCACCACCTGCGAAACCAGCATCGCCGAAAGCTGCTCCGAAACGTGCGGCAGGTTGGGAGAAATCTCAAACGACACCTCAGTGGAAGAAAGTCCGCCGTGAGGAGTAAATCAACCACCTCTGTCCATCCAAGTGATCACTGGACTATAAGATGTCTATCGTCTTTGTGAACAGATGATCAGGAAAAGACCAATTGAGAGGACTCTGAGCGAGGCAGTAGACTAATTCGCTTAGGTTCCATGTTCTCACTATTCCCATCTGCACGATTTTCTTTTTAGCAATGTGCACGTGAATTCACTAGTTAGCGTCAATTGCTATTCTTGGTGGAGCAGTCAACTTCCGTCGTCGATGGAGTGACTTGCGAAGCCGTAATCGTAGAGTAGCTGCAAGCTAGTGATAATTTGCGTTGTACAGCTCGAACTTGCGCTGACGCATTGCATGCCATAGAGTAGGCAACCCCGGATCCACTACGCTCGTCGGGTGTGGGTGAAGGGGGAGCCGAATGGTTTGCGCGTACAAAGGCGTAATTCGTGCACCACAAACAATATAATTCAAAGTTCCCACTCTCGTGCCTGCGGTGCGAAGCCACCGTAGGCATGGGGGGTGCTAAAGGGAACTAAACGGTACTGCACACATGTATAAGCATGTGGAGTAGGCCTGACATGATGCCAAATATATGGCTCAAGGCTCAAGGGAAAACGGTGTTTGCGCCGCTCAGCAATGCTGCCTGGACTCCGGCTACTAGGACGTTAGGGACTCCAACAACTACAACCAGATATCCGGGAACAAGGATTAAAATTGTTCACATAACCATATAATAACCAGATAATAACCATATAATGACCATATAATAACCACATAATAACCACATAATAACCATATAATAACCATATAATAACCACATAATAACCATATAATAACCACATAATAACCATATAATAACCATATAATAACCACATAATAACCATATAATAACCATATAATAACCATATAATAACGATATAATCACCACATCATAACCACATCATAACCACATAAACACCACATAATCACCACATAATAACCATATAATAACCATATAATAACCACATAATAACCATATAATAACCATATATTAACCATATAATAACCATATTAACCATATAATAACCATATAATAACCATATAATAACCATATAATAACCATATAATAACCATATAATAACGATATAATCACCACATCATAACCACATCATAACCACATAAACACCACATAATCACCACATAATAACCAGATAATAACCATATAATAACCATATAATAACCATATAATAACCATATAGTAAGCATATAATAAGCATATAATAACCATATAATAACCATATAATAACCATATAATAACCATATAATAACCATATAATAACCATATAATAACCATATAATAACCATATAATAACCATATAATAAGCATATAATAAGCATATAATAACTATATAATTACCACATAATAACCACATAATAACCATATAATAACCATATAATAACCATATAATAACCATATAATAAGCATATAATAACCATATAATAACCACATAATAACCACATAATAACCATATAATAACCATATAATAACCATATAATAACCATATAATAACCATATAATAAACATATAATAACCATATAATAACCATATAATAACCATATAATAACCATATAATAAGCATATAATAAGCATATAATAAGCATATAATCACCATATAATAACCAGATAATAACCATTTAATAACCATATAATAACCACATAATAACCACATAATAACCATATAATAACCATATAATAACCACATAATAACCATATAATAACCATATATTAACCATATAATAACCATAATAACCATATAATAACCATATAATAACCATATAATAACCATATAATAACCATATAATAACCATATAATAACGATATAATCACCACATCATAACCACATCATAACCACATAAACACCACATAATCACCACATAATAACCAGATAATAACCATATAATAACCATATAATAAGCATATAATAAGCATAAAATAACCCTATAATAACCACATAATAACCACATAATAACCATATAATAACCATATAATAACCATATAATAACCAGATAATAACCATATAATAACCATATAATCACCACATCATAACCACATCATAACCATATAATAACCATATAATCACCACATCATAACCACACCATAACCACATAAACACCACATAATCACCACATAATAACCAGATAATAACCATATAATAACCATATAATAACCATATAATAAGCATATAATAACCCTATAATAACCACATAATAACCATATAATAACCATATAATCACCACATCATAACCACATCATAACCACATAATCACCACATTATCACCATATAATAACCAGATAATAACCATATAATAACCATATAATAACCATATAATAACCATATAATAACCATATAATAACCATATAATAACCATATAATCACCACATCATAACCACATCATAACCATATAATAACCATATAATCTAGCCCATTTTCAGACAGCCCCCCCTTTCGAAATGGTTGAGACTCTCAGGTCACAACTGAAATCTTCTGGGCAAAGGGCCCTGCGCCGGGTGTCGGGGATGACGTCGACCTTCGCTCCGCCGGTGGTTGAGAAAGAACAGCTCTGTGACAGTGCAACCAGCTATTTCTACGGTCATATAGCAGGATTTTATAGTGATTCAATGGGATATTAATGGGATATACCCTCTGGTTATGACTAACATAGATGGTTTACCTAGCTATAAAATGCTGGATCTTTTCATGGTTATGTTAAATAACCAGATGGTATATATATAATAAAGATAACAATAATAATAATGATAATAATAATAATATACTTGATAAATGTACAGAATATACACATGGGATATCATGTGGGATGAGCAAAACAGTCGCGTAATTTTTCTCCCTAGCGTCAATTCAGTCGACCTAGCGGCGGCACTTCCAAAAAAAGTGCCAAGCGTCGGTGCCCTGCAAACCTGACAAGTTGCAAGTCCATAGCTTTGTCTCTGGCAAAATTCGAAGCTGGGGAGGGGCCGGGCCCACAGCATCGCTGTGTTGCCTGGTGAATCGGTTCTCTGCGATATCACCACAGCCCGTGGTGTCACCGTTTTTTTCGTTGCAAACACAAACCCAGGGTTTTGGTGAAAGTGTGGCTTCTTGTGCGGTTCAATCATGTTTTTTTTTTGGGGGGGGGGTCAACTTTTTTTTTTGTCTTTGAAACATGTCACAAATGAGGAAACATTTGTCGCCAATCCTGGTTGTTGGTGCCCCAACATCCCACCCGTAATTCGGGGTTTGTCCTTTTTTGGGGGGTTCAAAAAGTGGGTGTAATAATTAGGGGGATATGATTATCCTTGTAAATTATAGTTTTCTTGGGTAGATGATAAGACATTTTTCTTGCATACAATGGAATATGTAATTAACAAGCTGATTTTTCGGCAATTAGGGCAATCAATGCGGCAGAATTGGATTGATGTTTATACCATTCGTAATGATGCTACTACTCCATGATGAATTGTACTTCTGGTGGGAATGTGATGGGATATTTTGGGGATGTGATTGAATTCTACAAGCAACAATGTATCTGGGTAAATTATAACGACCTCACTGTTCTCCCTCACTATAATCATAGTTAGTAAGGGGAATCATCCCCAAGATAGCCGCAAAATTCAGGTTAGTGAATTATTATAATTTACCCAGATGTATGATATGTTAAAATTTTGTCTATATTCACTTCGTCTGAATGAGGTCACTGTCTGAATATGGTACAGCCCCATTTTTTGGGGTCAGTTTCTTCCGGGGGAAAATGATGATGAACTGGAAAACTGGGGGCTGTCGGTCTGGATTTCAGCATTGGAGATGGTCCAAAAAAATGGAGGTTTCCTGAAATAGGGCTACCCCAAATCATCATTTTTAATGGTATTTTCCATGATAAACCATCCATTTGGGGGTACCTCATGGTACCTCCATTTATGGAAACCCCCATATGGTTCTATAGCGCCCAGTTCATCGGGCGGGATACTGGCAAGATCTGGTGTATTGTGGAGGGTTTCCTAAAATCGGATCCTCAAAATAGCTGGATGGTTTATTTCATGTTTAATCTTTTTTATTTCATTGAGAATCCCATTTGAACAGAAAAAACATGGAGGATTTTGTAGCCCGGCTAGCTCCATGAAAAACCATGGACACCTCAGCCCATCATCGGAATCTCCCAGAGGCTTTGTTGCCATAGCATCATAGTTTCAACCACCAAGAAATTTCATATGGCTATTGGTCAAAACCCTGGCACCTAGTGAACCCCAAAATAGCTGGTAAATGGAGGTTCATCCCATTAGAATTGATAATAATAGGTTTTGACCCACCCCCATATAATTTCATATAATTTCGGTAAATGCCCATGTTTTAAGGCTCTATCCATGGGCCATCATTACCAGCCATGTTTTTTTTGGGATTTTCCAGCCATGTTTCACCAGGCTGGGGAATTTTGGGAATTTTTCTCATGGGATGGTTGGTATAGTATACCATGGTTTCTCGATGGCTGAAGCAACTGGAATCCCGTTCTTCCACGGATCGCATGGGCCTAGGGCCTAGGGCCAAGTTGTTTTTGATGTTTCAGGCTTTTCTGTAGGTATACCTAGTATACCTCTAAGATGATTTGAACATATTTGAACATACCCCAAAAGCAAAAGCATCAAAAGCCAAGTCCCAAAAAGAGCACTGCAATTGAAAGAGATCCTTTCATAAACCATCTAGACTCTTGTAAGGGGTATGCTCCAGTGGCTAGCTGGGAAATCAATGGCAATGGACGATTTTTTGTCATTGCCATCTTTGAAGAATCACTGGAAGGTCATATATTTAATGATATATATATATATATTCCAAAGTATGATAGCCAGAATTAGATTCTGCCAAAGTCCCATCATTTTTCATCGAATTCATTCTGGTTGGTGGTTTGGAACATTTGGATTATTTTTCCATTCGCTTGGGAATTTCATCATCCCAACTGACTTGAGCATATTTTTCAGAGGGGTAGGTCAACCACCAACCAGAATATGTAGCCAGTTCATATTCATTTACATGGCTCAACTCCCAACCTGACCGAAGTTTTTTCGGACGATGTAATTGCCCAGCGTTTTTCCGGCCCTCCGATGTCCCGGAATCTTGACACAGAATTCATTGGGATTTATCATGATGTATCCATAGAAAGTGTGGATTTTACTTGAATTTCATCTGATTTCCATTTTTTTGTTCATTGCCAGGTGAGGTTTCTTGATTTATTTCCATGATTTCTGTATATATATATATATTTCCATGATCTTTGATCTTTCAGGTTCATTTTCCATGCATTTTTCCATGTTTTTTTCAGTGCCATCTTAGGTTTGCCAGAGGATTCAGTGTTAGAACCAGAGACCGCACCTTCCCGGGCGTGCAGAAACTCATATTTGAGCCGTGCAGTGTGGGACCTGCTGAGCCGTTGCATACGTTCCATTGGCAGCTGAAAAATAGGTCTGTTCATGGGTTGTTTTAAGGAATTACAGGGGACACTGTGGGTTTTCATGAATTCTGTTACTTGTAAATCACTGGCTTATTGGGAATCAAACTTTATCACCCCAACCATAGGGATTTATGATGATTTATGCACCAGCAAGACGCAGTATTTCATGGGAGGGAGTGCTCGCACCTTTCATAGCGACCGAAAGCACAGCGTCGCGTCCACGACTGGTGAGAACTGGGTCGAACAGGGCAAAAAAACGGGGATTCCTTGGAAAAACCATGCCATTTTTATCCATTTTTACCAGCCATGACTGGGAATGGTTTCTACATACCACCGTTTTTTATTGATGGTGTATTGATGGTGATGACTGGGAAATGATTTATGATTGTTTTACCACCATTAGAGTTTTCAAATACCAAACATACCCGAGGCTTTTGACCTGGTTTGTTTCGTCATGTCTCTGGTGGAGTGATAAGCGGGTTTAGGGTTTAGGGTCCCGGGTACCGATGATGGAGATATGAATATCTATCGTTTCCCACAGTCGTTATGTTTAGAGCTTTTTTCAGCATGAAAACAATGTTTATTTTTAAGTAGCAAACATGGGTGGATACCTGTGGATACCTGTGGATACCTTGAGAATTGATATGAATTGATGTTTTTTTTGGATTCTGAAGAACCAACAACCAACCAACAATTAATTATTCAAGATTAATAAGCCATCAATTTCTGAATGATTCTTGGGGCTTTCCCCATTGAACCATTGAGATTTCATGGATTTCATGGATCCAGATGATCCAGGAAGCCCGCAAAATGTCATACGTATGTATCATGTGTCTCTATTCACACACACATATATATATATATATATGTACATATATAGAAATATGATGAAATATGTATATATGTGTCCGTTTGCAACGGTTTGCAAGGTTTCACTAGGACAATACGTCCGATACCCCTTTTGGCCCAAAACCGGGCACAGGGCCCTTGAGTCTTAGCGCGCAGCGCCGAAAAGCCGCACTACGGTGCACAACCAACACTGGTAGCGGAGCGGTGCAAGACGGGACCTACAGGTTGCCGCATCCGCCCTACCTCGGGCATAGCCCGGAGGTTCCTCTGAGGTCCTTGGCCTCAGGAGGTCCTCGGTTCCTCTGAGGTCACCGGCCTCAGGAGGTCCAAGGTTCCTTCGAGGTCACCTGGCCTCAGGAGGTCCAACATGCCGGACAAACGGTCCTGGCACTCTGGCCACGGTCACGGGTCACGACGGCCCGACCGACGAGAGGACCATGGTGGAGACAGCGAGTACACCTACGAGTACCTCGAAGATGAAGAGTCCGAACAAGAGGACGAGCCGAGGCAGGTGCGACCAGCACCTCCGGCAGCTTCCGCCGCGCCGGAACGGAAGCAGCGTATGGATGGGTCACACCGGCCCCCTACGCCTCCGCGGGAGGCGCGTGCGGCGGAGGTTCCACGCACGGTGCCGCGGGAGCCGCCTCCTCCTCCACCAAAGGAGAGGAAGGAAAAGAAGGAGAAAAAGAAGAAGGCGGACTCCAAGAAGGAGCACAAGTCCGAGAAGGACAAAAAGGGCCGTCGCGGTGACCCCCACGACAGGCGTAGCAGGTCAACAGGCCGCTGCCCTGCTGAGGAGCGGTCCACAAGGCGTAGCCGGTCACCGAGCCGCCGCCATGGCCACCGGGAGCCACGGTCGCCGCCGCGATCCCCGGTAGAACTGCGACGGGCGCCGGGACACAATCCTTACCCGGAAGACATGCCGTCAATGAACACCGGTTCCTCGGGAAGTGGCAATGCTGGTGTGTCTGGCACTGCCAACACCAGTAAGCCCAACCCATGGTCCGCCCGACCTGGGGTCAGCTCTTGGCCCGGGTGACTGGGTGTGGGTGTCATCCCCTGGGTACTGGGTGTTCGTGCCCCACGAAGTGCCCCACCAGAAGGGTCGCCACCAGTCCCCTGGATGGGAAAGCGAAAAAGGGCGCCACAAAGGGAAGCGGCCCGAGTCCCCGAAGGGCTCGCCGAAAGGCCCTCCAAAAGGCCCGCCTAAAGGAAAAGGCAAAAATCCCCCCAAAGGAAAAGAATCCAAAGGGAAGGGGAAGAAGGGCAAAGGCAAGGGTCGCAAGAGGCGCAAAAACCGGCCTGGCCAACACCAAAGACGAAGGCAAGCCGAAGCAGCAGCACAGACCAGAGCCGAGGGAGGCCCGCGCGGACGGCGCCGCCGATCCGACCGCGGTGGTGGTGACGATGATGGTCCGCCCCCCGCTGAAGCGGAAGGTGACGGCCGTGATGCCAGAGACATCCCCCGCCCGAGGGAACATGGCCCAGGCGGTGGGGATGGTGATGAGCCCAGTGACGATGAGGACGACGACGAAGGCGATCATGAGGGAAGGGCTGAGAGTGAGACCCTGACCCATGACCCCGTCGTCGAGCCATCAGAGCCCGAGACTCTGGATCCAGGAGCGGCAGGTCCACACGGTCCTCCGGCTCCGGGTCCAAGAGGTGCCGGGTCACGCGCAAGCACGCCGTTGTTCCCTCCGAGACCCATGGGGAGCCCGCCAGGAAGCTCCTTGGGATCACGAACACGGCCGCGCCCAGCTCCGCCGATCTTACCACCAGGATCAGGCCGACGATCCGCCAGAACTTCCGACAGCCGCGCACCCGCGTCGGTGACGCTGCCTAGTGGGTCTAAGTGGGATCCACGCATGGGTCCGGCCCCGGGCATACGGTGGAAGTCAGGAGCTCCACCAGCACCGCCGAAGTACACGGCAGACGCGAAGGAAGTGGGATCGTTCGACCGATACTCCCGAAGAGTTCGGCTCTGTGCAAAACGCGCATCCGGCTGGATGACGGACGGAGACGCAGCGCTCCTCCTCGTCGAAAGCCTGAGCGGCGCAGCCGAGCGCGAGCTCGAGTTCACGCCCCTCGTGGAAATCGAGAACGGTGGTGTGGAGTTTGTCCTCCAGCAATTGGAGGCAAGCTCAAACGAGCACCTGGTCTACCGCAAGCACCACTACCTTCGACAATGGGAAACTGTTCGACGGAAGGTTGGCGAGACCATGCGTGCCTATATCCACCGGTTCGACCAGTTGCACAAGCAACTGAGCCACATCGACGTGGACGTGAAGGCCACCTACAGCGGCGAAGCCCTCGGACATCGCCTTCTGGAAAGAGCTGGTCTGTCCACCGAGCAGGCAAGGATGGTGCTGATCGGATCCGGACAAAGCTTTGCGTACCCGTCCATCCGCGACAGCCTCCTCCTGCAGTACCCGGACACCCTTCCGGTGCCGGCCATTGGCAGTGGGCCAGGCAAAGGGAAAGGGAAGGGTGACAAGAAGGGTGCAAAGCAGGTCCACGTGGCCTCTCACGAGGAAGGCGGAGAGGAGCCGCCAGAAGCCGAAGATGAGGACAAAGAAGTAGCAGAAATAACAGCAGCGATCGACGTCCTGACAGTGACGGCACAGAAGCTGAAAAATATCACCCAAGGACGTCGGTGGACCGACGGAAAAGGAACGTCGAAGGATGGTGACAAGGGATCCACCTCGACCTCAAAAGGGAAGCCCTCCTTCTCCACGAAAGGGAAGGGAAAGGGCAAAAGCAAAGGAGACACAGGCAAGAACACCTCGCGGGTCAACGTCTGCGAGACGGCCCAGGACGAGGGCGATGCCGACGACGGATGGGAAGAGGCAAATGACGGAGACGATCACTACGACAACGAAGAGCAAGAGGATGACCAGTACGAGTCGTTCTTCGTCTTCATGACCAGCCATGAGGACACCTCGGTGGTGAACCCCTCTCCACAGGTGTCTCAGGTCCTGGCGGTGGCCCCCCAGTCCGCGGCAGGCCTGATGGTCATAGACACAGCATGTCAAAAGACCTGTGTTGGCCGCGGGACATACCTTGCCCACTGCGACATCCTAAGGTCTTTCGGCCTGCGGTGTCAGTGGACGCCTGAATCAGAGAATTTCCGATTCGGCGCCGGAGGTCCGCAACAGTCCTCCATGCTGGTGGCAATACCAGCTGGGGTGGAAGGAGAAGCGATGGTCATTCTGGCCTCTCTCCTGGACGCCAGCATCCCCCTCCTGGCCTCACTGCGACTGCTGAGCCAGCTGGGTGCTGTGCTAGATCTGCCCAAACAAAGTTGCCGCCTCCACAAGATCGGAGTGACGGTACAACTGGCTAAGACACTTGGTGGCCACTTAGCCTTACGTGTCACCCAGTTCCCCAAGGAGGGAATGCCACGGTCCGCAGACATGTGGCACCACAAACGACAGCCCGGTGTCGAAGTCGTGCTCGACCCTGCAAAAAGCGCCGCCTCCGCCGACGCTGACGCAAGGGGAGAGTCCGAAAGCACCAAGCACATCACACACAACACCGGGATGGCAGAAGGGACTCACGTCCTCGCCGCAGCTGTCTCAGGCTCAAGCTCAGAAGCCCCAAACAGCACCGCAAGTGTCGGGAATGCCGCCCGGACACGTCGCGCCCTCGCCTCCGCAATGGCTTGTGGCATGGCGCGAGGTGACGGTGGGTCTCCTGACGTTGCTCCCCCGTTTCCTACGACTGGCCACTCAGTGCCGTCGACTCGGAGTAGAGCCAGTGACCAGCATTCTACGCCGTGGTCTGGCCCCCGAGCTGACGCCGGAGAACTGCACACACCCGAGCAACCTGATGCTCCGGTACGGGAATCGGCACGGCAGGTTCACGAGGTGCGCAATGTGCGGCGCCCGGTGGCGCTGGGACGAAGCCATGGGCTGCTGGCTCTCCTTGTCAGCATCCTCGCGCTCGTCACTGCCACTTCCGAGCCGGGACAATACCTTCCCAGCTGCTACGGCGAGCAAGGCAAAGGCCAAGAACAAGGCGAAGGCCAGGGCAAAGGCGACTTCCGCGAGTTTCCCGACCCGCGATTTCTCGCCGCCGACCCGCACACGCCAAGCTCCACAAGAGTTCGATCTCCAGAGCGTCATGAGCCAAGAATTTCCGGACGACCAGAGCGAAGTATTCGACTGGAACCAGCCCAGCGACTAGGGCTGAAGAAAGGTCAACGGAAGCAGCTCGCTGCACAGGCTCGACGGGCCCATCAGGTCCTCAGCCTGGAGTACGCCATTCTTGGAAGCGAGTTGGCGAAAGCAGCTGACGCCCGGCGGAGAGTAACACATAGTGCCGACTTCCTACAAATGACGCCATGTGAAAGGGGTGAGAACCTCACGTCTGCAGGACTACGCTCCCCACAAGAGCAATGGGACATCGCGACACATCGTGGTCGCAAGCAGTGGGTCGAGTCCTTGAGGTATCACAAACCGGCCACTTGTGGTCGCGGTCAGACTGGCCGACTCCCCCTCACATGGAACACCGGAAGTGATCAACTCGGTCCTCCGAACTGTTGAGCATCAACAGCGATGCAGCCGATACTGGGTCATCATTGCTCCCAGGACACACCCGGTGTGGAGACACCCAGGCATAAGCCGTTTGGTGACGGAAGGACAACACTTCATCACACGAGCCTCGGAGACCATCGTGTCGAATCACGAGTGGCTCACTCAGGCATCACCAGGTAGTCCCACTTAGAGGGTCCAATGTTGTCCTTTGGGCATCGTTTTGGCTTTTCACAACGTCATGTGCCTCTTGTTGCAAAACTATGCCGTTTGTAGACCATGCGCTTCATGGGACAGATACCTAGCAAGTTCCATGAATATTCATGCCACTCATTGGTTTGAAATTTCAAACCTGTGGCTGTTGGTGAAAAGGGGATGCTGCTGCTGCTTCCCTCCCTCACCTCCCCAGCACTTCCTTCATATTATTTGCGCTGCTGCAGCGCTTTGGCTGCGCTGGTTGCGAAGACATGTGTCTTTGCTGCAAGTAGTTCGGCTTGCTTGAAGTCTGCGGTGCAGATCTGTGCAAAGATTTGCAGACAAGGATATACAAAGCCTTGCGGCCATACACCATCACGCTGTGACCAAGAGATTTCATTTTTCTCTTGGATATCTAGTGTCGCGCAAAAACCACCAAATGCTAGCAACGTCTACTTAAGAAACAGTTTTAAGCCTTGGAAAACCCACATCGCAATAATGTCCCCATGTATTCTTGTATACCTGTGTGCTGACAGCGTTTTTGAGGTACAACCTACAAAACCATGCGTTTGAATTTCCACATGGAATATCCATGCCAGAAAAAATGTGGTTTGACATTCTCATACCCCTTGGAAATACAACCTATCCATTTAAATAAAGTAACAATCTAAAAAACATGTTTCCACATACGTTTTGTCTTGAAGCCATTTGGCTTTGTATATAGTGCAGCACCCCAAAAAACAGTGTTACGGCCAGAAAGAAAAACACACGCATAATGTCCGCCAGGATTGGACCATGCTCGGGTGCCCATTCCTAAGTGCCTTAGGTAGAATCATATATGAAACATATTTATTTGTCTAAAGTTTGTTTGGGTAAATAAACAGGTAAACGAATAGGTGGGTATACATACTACACATTTTATATTATTGGATATATACGGTAAGATCTTTAAGAAATATACAAACTCATACAAGGGATCTTCCCAGGGAATCAGCACCTTTGATCGCACAGTGCCGTTTTTTTTACCAACAAGAGCCACGATCCAGCGAGCTCCGTTTGCCTGCCACGGCCATCAGAAGTCCTGCAGGCACGCTCCCCCACAAGCCCTGCAGGTTGAGTGGTGGTGCATGGTGATGGCTTTCTACCTTCAAAAAATATTACCATGCAAAGGCAATGTGTGTGTCCAAGCTTATTGACAAATCGGGCTGATGATGGCTGATGCCAAAGTATGGTTGAAAAACACGCCCACAAAGTAGGGACATCCTAGAAAAGAGAATCAGAGGTGCTAAGGTAGCTTGACCCAAAATGGCACAACGTGTCTTCCGTTACTAGACATCCATGTTAGTAGCTTCACAAGCTTCGGCACAAAGGCATGGTTGTTTGGCCCAACAAACATCTACATTTGCTTTCGCAGGGTGATCAGGATTGAATTTTGAACCGCACCTTCAACACTCAGTGACGCAGTGTGGTTTTCGCGCGTTCTTCTTTAGCCCTTTGGTTTGGGAGGGAGGTGAAGTTCCGTGGTTTCGACTTTGTCCAGCGACAATGGTTGATGGAGGTATGCACCTGGCCATGGAACCTTGGAGGAGTGTTCGACTCTAGGCTCCAAAGTTTGCACTGTTCTGACCCGGGGTGGGTACGGCTGAGTCATGTTGTACAGAAGGGCTGTTGCTCACGTCAACTTGTCGCAAAACATGTTTTTCTGAGGTCCTGGAAAGGTTCCTTGGAATGCCACTGATGTCAGGAACTGTGCATTCAGAATCAAAACGTCACTGCCCATCAATGTGAGCCAAGTTCTTGGGAAAGATTGGGCTGGTGGGCCACTAGTGCAGCTTTCTGACACAATTTCTAGACCAAGTGCAGATGACATCATCTTGAACCATTGTTGGGTTCGTGCTTTCGTGGAGCAGTTCAGGGATCGTGTTCCTTCGGGCTTTTTTATCACCGATGTCTTTTTGATGTTGGACAAGTTCTGGATGGGCCGTTTGCTTATTCCTCTGGAAGAAGGGGATTCCAAAAGTAACCTCGCTAGCGAAGAATCCAAGAAGATCAAGCTCCTTATTGGAGCGCTTCGTGGGCTGTGGCGCTCTAGCTTTCTGGCTCGGTTGAATATGATTTACATTTGGCGTTTGATGTTTCTTGCGGGGTATATAGCGCGAGTTTCAAAGACCCCCTAGATAATTGATTGAGTATGATGTACGTATCAATATATTTTTATACGCATGTAGATGTTTGATTTTTCTTTTGGCGTATGGGCGAGAGTTTCATAGACAAAAAGGCATTCCAGTTGTTTGAAACAGTTATGGTTGCATTGCATGTGCTAGGTAAGAGCAGCTCTCATCCCCGGGTTGCTGACCTCAAAGCACTCCTGCTTCCATCGCCCTCGAGAACCAAGGCATCCCTAAATCTGCAAGTGTGTTTCCATCCCTTAAATTTATTTTTTTTTCAGTTGTTTTCTCGGTGCTTTGTGTTGGTTCTTTTCTGGAGTGCGCATGCCTGCAGGTCAAAGCTGCCGAGCTTGAAGAATCTGGGGAAGGTGAAGGTTCAGACTCGGACCAAGCGCCGGCGGTTGCTGAGGGGGATCAACAGGGAGAAAGTGAGGAAGGGGCAGGGGGCGAGATAGATTCTAATGGTAGTGGTGATGATGAAGTTCACTGCGATGAGATGAGTGATGGTGAATCCACGTCTGATGAGCATGTCAAGGGCGCTGGTGACAGTGATGACAGCGATCATGATGATGAGGGTGAATCTGCTTGTGGTGAACTTCAACATTCACCAGCTGAGTCAGATGCATCTACGCTTGTCCTCCCAGGCCGCGGGGATGATGATGAAGCGGGGGTGCCAGTTCCAGGGTTGTCACAGGGTCCAGGTGATGGTTGTGATTCAGACTGTTCAGAGAAATCAGCAGTGGTTCATACCCCAGAGTGCTCACAGCCACCTATGGAAGACCGTTTCAACACACCTCATGGAGATCATCCGAAACATTTCACCGATGCGGAGTTGACCGAGATGTGCATTTCCCTACTGCAATATATTGGCCAAACCCACCCGGACATTGCCAAGTACCTTTGTTACATATTTATATCAGCTTGTAAGGTTATGATTCTTTCTTTCATTTTCTGTTTTTCCACATTTCTACTGTTTCTATCTGTTTTGCATCCTATATTTGATACTCGCGCTTCTCTGAGGCAAGATGCTGTGGTTGCTTACATGCAACATGCCGAATGGGCATTTCAAAGGTTCGGCTTGGCTGCAAGTGGCTGGCTTGCTACCAGGGAGCATTGGAATGCTTGGTTTGCTCTCCACAAAGCAGGTGGTCGCAAGAAGGCCAGGCTGCTAATAGTAGTGTGACATAATGTCAGCTTATGCCTTGTAGAAAGCTTCTTATTAGCCCTGCGATTGATGTGTTTGCGTGGAATTAGTTTTGGTTCATAGTTTTGCTTTATTTCGCTGCAGGTCCTTTCAGTTGAAGAGCACATGGAGCTGACAGCTCAGCACCCTTACGGGAACGCTGCCCGAAAGGCCATGGATCAAAGGCAAGCGGCATCTGCCAAAGCTTCCAAGGCTTGTCTTGCAATGTTTTGTTTGGGTTGGATGGAGGGGTGTTGGTTATTTTGCATATTGCGCATGGCATTTTGCGGGTGGTAGCTTTCTGTCAGCAAGAATAATGTAGGCTCACACTCTATGACGTTTGATCGTTTTGTGCTTGCAGGCCAGCATCAATGAGAATCCACTACGCGCAGTGCTGAAAGATGGGCTTGAGACAAGAGACGCAGGGGTTTACAAGGGCGAAGTTGCTAAGATTCCCAAGCTCAGTCGCAAGTCATCTTCGGTAGATCTCATGGCTGAAGCAGTGCAATCAAAACTGGCAGTGCCATCCATTGGGCTCCAAACAGTTTTTTCGGCAGGTTGATTTAGAAAGGCTTCAGGGGTGTTGTGTGCTGGATTAGAATGTTGACTTCATTCAGTCTTAGCTGGATTTAATTTGTTGGATCCATTCAGTTTGCAATTGGTCCCATATGCACATGGTATTGTTGTACTTCAACCAACCGGTCAATTCTCTTAACAAATATCATACTTTCGTCCTTGCATCTCAGGCTAAAGGCATGAAGCGTTTCAAGGAGGAACGCGCTGCTGCTGCCGCTGGCAATCATGGTGATGGCGGTGATCCCAAACACCCTCCAAAGAAACCCAAGACTTCCAAGTCATCTACCAAGGGCAAAGCAGAAGGAACCACTGAATCGAGTACACCTGGTATGTTCCACACTTATGACTTACGCAAGCTTGGAATCCCAGAAATTGCCTGGCCCCAAGCCTCACGGGTGCATTTGGGCAAACATGGATACACCGTGGTGTCTAACTCAGCAGCCATTTGCCAATTATTTGCACATTTTCTATTTTTTGACACTGGAACCTTTATCTTTTTGAAACAAGTTTGCACCGTCCTCTTTGAGAACTATGCCCTTCTCAAGAATCACCAGAAATATCATTCCAACTCGCTGCATTTTTTTTTGCTGACATGTTCAAAAATGCACATACCGGCACATCCCCCCATCTCGGCCCTGTCCTTTGACTCCTGAGGCGATCGAGGTCTTGTGCAAGACCCATGCGTACGTCGTGAAGCGCGTGGCTCCTGGTGGTGGTGACAAGTGCCGGCCAGGACAGGTGAGTTGGAAGAAGTGCGGGGGGGCTTCCAAGGCATGGGAGATCGCAGCAGAGCTTGCCAACTGGCACTAGCCTCTCCAACAATGTGGATTTAGAGTTGGTTGCACTCTGCACCTTATGTGTTAGAGTCTTTTGGGTTCTCAACACTTCACAAACGAAGTGCGGGTCTAGGATGGGTGCGTCGTCAGGATAGAACAGCTGGGGACCCACTATGAACGACCCCTGGTCTAATACAAAGTTCAAACTGGATCAGCTCTGACTTCAAGTTTTTTTGTTTAGTGCATGGGCCTTCCACTTGCAGCCTGATCGCATCCGTGAGCATATGAAGCTTTGCTGATTTGATATTTTCCAATCATGGCACACATGGCGGAGAAGGCAAAAGGTCCTCTGCGAATCGAAGTGGCTGATCCATAGGAATCCATGCAGTATGTAGTAAATCGCCATTTCCTTGGATCCACGCAGGTGCTGTCATTGCCGGCTTCCAGATCATCATCTGTGACCAGGCTAGCAAAGCTCGTGGTGAGAGTGCTTAATATGTTTTAATGTATATGTGCTGTGGCAATTCCTTAAAGGCTCAGTCCAGTCCAGTCCGTATCACAAATTGCTTCAGCCTATAATGACATACAAGTTAGTCAGATTCTTACTGGCATCGAATGCCAAGCGCAGCCGTGAAAACAATTCTATGAACATTAAATAAGATTAATATAGCCATACCCCCTTGGGATTGTCAGTCACTCCATTAGCAGACCATGCAAGACATGAGTTCCAATTCTCTCACACCAGAAAACTATTGGGTATTACTACAATTTGACGCGCTATTCATGCAGGCCAACCTGGGCCACCTTTGCCTCCATTTGGCCTACTTAGAGGCTCGGGTCTGGGAATGGTTGTCGTGGCAAGAAATATTTCTGCAAGCTCAGCCACTTCAAAGGTTGGATCCAAAGACACTTGATGGTGATGGATTGCAGAAAGCCATCGATCGGCCCAGGCATTTGCAGCCATCATCCTCTGGACCTGTCGCAGGCGCAGCAGCTCTCATCTGGGGGCCCGAGTGGGAATGTCCATGATGCCTTCAAACATGTGAAAAATGATCCATCAGGACATATCTATCAAAAATTAGAAGCATGTCTTTTTCAGACCTAGTGAATCTTTTTGTTCCAGTGCAGCTCACAACGAAATGCTGTACAACATTCATCTTATGGCTCAAACCTAGGGATTCAATTTTGTTTGGGGTGGCAAGTGAAAGATTTGTGAGACCCCATGGGACAAGGGACTCATGTCAGAGACAGGGCATCCAGTGCCAAAATGCCCTATCGCAGCTGTGATGACACTGAGTCTACTTGCACAGTTCCTATTTCTTGGAAGCGCAAGCAGCGAGTTTTGGTCAATTCCGGCCTCCGCGCTCTGAAAGCTCCAATGGTGGGGAGTCCCAATCCTTGGATCCATCGGTGCATCTAAAACATATCGTGCGGATGAATCTGACAGGGATTTATTTCGGTGAACAAGGTCACTAGGTTCCCCAAATACAAACCTATACAAGACCACCGTTTCCAAGAACTTGCCAGTAAATCAGGAATGGTCCCCTCAAAAAACAAAATTGGGTCACAGTTCACCGGAAAATCCCAATAAACAACCTATGGAAGATGGTTCCCATGAAAGGTTCTAAAACATAGAAAGTTGTAGTCCAGCACCTATCCAAAAATGGGTCCCAAAATGGATGCCTACAAAGGCGCTATTGTAATTGGATGCGCATACCAGGTAGTAAGTTGTTTGGTAGTTAGTAAGTTTTTTCTACATGTATAAAGCCCACAAAATGATTGGGGAATATGCCATATATAGCTGGGGTATAGTATGGTGTACTAAAGTTATATATATATATATTATCTTATTTATGTATATATTTCATTATGTCATTTATGAAATTATCTATAAACACTTACCCATTCAAAACATGAAGCTGCATTACCAGAAATAATCCTGTCAGGTTGTGTTGGCATTGTGCAACATGGTCTTCAGCTGTTCCAACTTGAACTGGAACGACCCACAAGACCACTTGGAACTCTTCGCTGGAGTTTGCTCCATCACTCGCGGCGAATGGAAGGAGCAAAGGGTGCTCACTTTTTGCCACTAAAGAAAGTTAAACATAAGTTCTACTTCATGGTGTTTGCTATATTTCCATAGCTGCTTGGGAAACATGTATTCAAACATTGCACCGATCCTTCACTACAGTGGGGCCATCGTCTCATGGCCCTGCAAGGAGTCTCGCTCTGGGGTACCTATGGACCTGGACTTTGGTAAGGATCATGACATCCTCTCGGATGCAGGCTTCTCCAACATGGTGTTTCAAGTGCTTAACTTACGACCTGGTGGATCCATGTGGGCTGCGCCGGTATGCAGCACGTGGGTGTTTATGTCTTTCTGGTGCAATTGGGAAGTTTTTGGAATGAGTTTAACTTTCTTTCGAACATGATGCCTTTTGACATCCATTACAGCCTTTCAGTGGAATACCATACCACACCTTGTCAATGCATCATGGATAGGACTGCACAGTAAGGATTGAGAATCGTATCATAGTGTTCCCATGTAGGCTGGTAATTTTCCTCTTGGCTTGGGCTGAAACACTGACCCCAGGAAGTCCCTTCAAAATTGAGGAAAGTGGGCACTTTTTTGGGGACTTCGTGGGGTCTTTTTTCGCAGTCTTTCACAGAGGAATATTGCTATTTTAGGCAATAGAGCTACAGCAGGCAAATGGCAATTGCGCATGGGGTGCCCGAGCAACTTTTATCCAGAGGACCATTTTGTTACTAATCATCTTTTCCCACATGATACCAATGGGCCCTAAGAATATCTGATTCGTACCACTTTTCTTTCGCGGTAACAATCCAGCTTTCGCCAAGGTCGAGAGGGAGTACAGGCCGAAGTTCAAGTAACCCGATGGGGCATGGTAAGGGCACCACCTACTTGCACAACTTGATGGTGGGACGAGTCGCCGTGTTGTTGCTCATAGCAGCAGCAAAGGCCATATGGTGGAAACTTGAGCAGCCTAAGGGCAGCCTGCTGGAGGGGCATTTGCTTTTCCAAGCCCTTCTTCGACTGCTGCAGAAGTTAAAAGTGAAAATCACCAGGGTGAGCACATCCCTTTGCTGGTTTGGTGCAGACACTGTGAAGCCATTATGGGTGTACTCCAGTATCTTGCCACATTTAAAAGTCATCACCTGGCCCCAACAACACCACATCTATACCGTCTATACCACAAGCCCATTACGGTGCCCAAGAAACTGCCAAACCAATGCCATCTTAATTTTCCTTTCAGGAAATGGTCATTTGCACCATGTTTACCATTTAGCAAAAATCGGTCGTACTTTGTTTGGTGTCCATTACTTGTGTTCAAGTGTTCCCATGGTGTTTTGCATTCAAGTTTATTCTTGTGTTAAGGCTTTCCTTTTTGTGAAGGGCTTCATAGTTCCATTTCAATTGGAAAGAGGTAGTTTGTCTCGGTACAGTAATGCCACAAAGCCATAGGACCTGGGACATGTCTTTTTGGAAAACGAGTATCTTTTTGGAGGCTGCGAAATTCCAAAGCATTGGAAAGGGTTATGAAAAGAATGCAATATTTGGCTGTTGCGATGGCCACAATCTTTACTTTGGCACTTCTTAACGGAAGCCCTTGTGGGAATCATCCATGCTCTTTCCAAGGCAAACCTGAAGCAGTTGAAGTGAACGACTTTGCCAACAAGACCCTCGTGCCGCCCAAGAAGACCAAGCTTGTGATCCACTACAAGGACAGCAAAGGACAGCCCCGGATCAAAGGTGGGCCAGGACTCAAACTATCCCAGTCCTATCCGTTGCGGTTCTTTGGATCAACCATGCCAGTTTTCAAATTTGAATCTGATTTCAAAGCAATCATCTTCTTCGGACCCAAGGTTTTCAGCGTGGGTAGACAAACGTTTTGGCTTGGCAAAGGAAATGGTTATCATACATCGGTGGACATATTTATATTCTATATAGTAGTTTGAAACTTTTCTTCATATGGTGCGGTCATTGAACCTCCATAGGCCATGCATGCCCGATGCCAAGGTTCGGCGTTGCATTTGCAAAGGTTAGATCCCGGCACCAGAAAAAGCATCGATCGGAAGCGCACCGCTTCCTGCGAACTGTGGTGCGGGATGGTACCAGTGCGGTGGACCCCAGCCCAAAAATGAACAAGTTCTGGGTTGACCATGCCAACCTCAACCCTATTTTCTCTTATTTGTCCAAGCAACAATAGGCGTGGACATTGCATGGATGATTTGTCCAAATTTGCTCCAACCATGTGGAATAACCACATGAGTTTCATGCAGCTAGGTGCCGTGGGATTAATGGCTTGAGAATTCCCAGAAAAAGGCAGCTTCAACAAAGTTCAGGCTTGCAGAAATAGAGCCTCCCCAATCATCCAGCTACCCTTGCGCTCTGTCCTTGTCCCGGCCGTGGTTCCATTGCCAGATCTTTGAATGCCTCGGCTGGTGCTCAAAAGATGCCGACCAAAAAGCTCTACAGGCGAGCATGGGTGGGACATGGACATGTTATTTTCTGAGAATATCAGAAACCTGCCCATATTCGGAGACAAAATGGATGTTGATGGATTGCACACCTGATCTTCAAAAAAAGTAATATTTCCAACCCTTTTGCTAGTGCGATCTGGAGAGAATTTTATGCGATTTGTAGCGAAACCGTGCGATTTGCATAATGGGTCCTGACATCCCCTTAAAAATCTTTTCCAATCCACTGCAGCTCTGTCTCAAAACAGACTGAGTAGGTTTTCCCGTGCCTACCTTGGCTTGGGCTCCCTGAGATGGGGAAGGGGTCCAAAAAACCTGAGAAACCTGAGAAGAAGGCTTGTGCCCAGGTGCGCAAGTCTGCCTTGAGGAAGCCACAGGCGGCTTCTGCAAAGGCCAAGCCAGATCCTGCCAAGTCGTTGCTGAAAGCATCCCAGAAGAGCAAGAAGGAGATCAAAGCGAAAGACAAGCAGAAGGACATCGTGGCAGAGGTACTAAGGAGAGCCAAGGCATCAAACCAGGCACCGTCGCCATCTACTACCGCTTCTACACCGGCATCTTCAAAGGAAGCCAGGGCCAAGGCCATCGCCAAAGTTTCCAAGGATGGTGCATCAAAGAGCACAAGAACAAAAGAGAAGGAGAAGAAGGGCCAGGTAGCAGGTCAGTCTCAGAAGGATTCGACAAAGAAAGGGGATCAACCTGAGAAGAAGGCTGCCAAGACCAAGACTGCTAAGGAGTCAGAAGGCAAGGACAAAGAGGTCACCACGACTCAGGCAAGTAAAAAGGAGGAGGCAAAGAAACGTGAGAAAGAACTGAAGAAGAAATTGGCACAAGAGAGCATCCCACCCACAGCACCTCAGTGCAAGCAAGCTCCCACAACACCTCCCTGCAAGCGGTTCCGAATGAAATCGCCTGCAGGAAGTGTGGCAAGCAGCTTGCAAACAGATGCATCTGCAGAGCACTATGCAGGGAAGAAGGCCAGGGCTGAAAAAGCAATGGCAGGCATGCGAGAACAGCTGGAGCAGGCCGCTGCTGATGCGCAGAGAACTGCCGAGCTGGATGGAGCTGGCATGTTGGACTTGGTCAATGAGATGACTGTAAAGGAAGTTTCTGAGATAGAAAAGCGACAGTCATCTCAGCCTGCGAGCTTAGAGAGTTTGCAGAAAGTTGCAGATGCAGACCAAGACGAAGATTGCGATGACGAAGAGATGATGAACTTTCTACTGTCGACTGACGAGGAAAGTGGAGACGCAAGTTCAAAGGAAGAGGAAGCGACTGGAGAGGGTGGAGGAGAAGAGGAAAGCAAGGAGGAAGATGAGGAAGAGCAGAGTGATCAAGGTGAGGATGAAAGTAGTGGAGAAGATGATGGAGAAGGTGATGGACAAGGAGAGGAAGAGGAGAAAGATGAGGAAGAGGATGACAGCAGTGATGATTCCGACAGAAGCAGCGCAGAGGAAGAGGAGGCAGTTGTTGAGCCAAAGGAAGGAAATTCCATTCCAGCAGGCAATGCGACGACCCCGGCAGCAACAGAGGACAAGACAACAGACCTAGCTGTTGTAGTAGCTCAGACCAAGGAGGCAAGCCAGGGCGTCAGGAACAGCGCAACCTGCAAGCGAGAGTGGGACAAGTTCGACAGGCAGCTGAAGAGTGGAGCGCTGCCCTCCTCACTTGCTCCTTATCTTAAAAAGAAGAAACAGGACATCTTTGCGTTGTGGCTGGACCATGATGAAGACTGGGATCAAGTAGCAGTAGCAGCAGAACGCATGCATGAGAGCAAAAACCTAGCCCGCAAACAGTGGACAGCCATCCAGTACAAAGAGCTGGAGAAAACGTTTGACCAGACGAAGTTGGAGGAGATCGTGAAGAAACGAACGGAGCAAGGGCTCTGGTATGCAGACGAAGATTTTCCGACAGACCCTAAGGACACGGGGTGGGACCGGTAGGAATGCAGAGTTCACACATATGCTCACAAAAAATATCATAGCACAGTTCAAGGTAATCTCAACTCTGTAAAGAACCAAAGGCCTATGTTTGACCATCAGATTGTCTATATGCATAATGAAAAAAGTCACAAACCGAAGTCATGTATCCCTTCACACTTCATACCTCACTGCATTCAAGCCGTTTTGGTTTTCAGAACTCTTGCATAACTGGCTGACATGTGGCAGTCCGATTTATGGTTTCCAAAAGTCCTTTGCAGTTGGCTGTAATCCGGCCATCCCTTCACAACTCATACCCGCTGCATTCAGCATGTTTTAGATTGTTGTATGTATGTGTCAACCTATCCCTGCATCATCTCTCTGTGCACGATTCACTGCAGGAAACTTGGTACTATATGCCACAGGGACGAATGGTAAGACAGGATGACAGCACAGCTGACCAACTTCGACTGACGGCCAGCAAAGCTGCCACCCCTGAGTTGGTGAATGCCCTGACTTCCGATGAAGGTCCTCTTCCAAATGGTGCTCTGCCAGCCGTCAAAGTTGCCAGTGAGCAAGGCACCAAGAATCTCTTCTCAGCCTTAGATGATGAAGGGAAGGCCATCGTCAAGCCAAAGAAGGTGAAGAAACCAAAGGATGAAGCAGTTGAAGTCACTCCAAAGACATGGACCGAGTTCAGCCCTCAGAGACTCTAAAGCCACATTCATACCCTCTCAAGAGTGCCACAAAGAAAGGATCCAAGATTAAGATTGGAAACCAAACTGGAAACGAACTTCGATTGTTTTGTTTGCTTCACTGCTTTTGTCCACGGTCCAGCATAGCTAGATTGGCAGCCAAAGTATTGTTTGCTTCAACACCGTTCTCAAGTCCTGCATGGCTAGATTAGAAAACCAAGTTGGATACATTGGATACAAACATCGTTTGCTTCCTTCTATTTGTCCACAATCCAAGATGGCTGTCCAGTCACGCTGTCACAAAAACTTCAATTTACCAATTGGTCATTTTTCAAATGTGAGTAGAAATTCACACATGCAGACCCACTGCATCTAATTGCAAAACCCAGGTGGCTGTAGGCCCCATTCTCCAAGCATCCTCGTTGTGCCCAGGGAAGCTGCTGCTATGGTGCCACAGATCCTCGACGAGGCGACAAAGGCAAGAGCCAAGAGTATCCAGTTGAAAGGGATGGACTTTGCAGCAGAGCTTTCATCCCAACTTATGAAACATGGAAGTGAGATGGAGTCTTTCTATTCCAGTCTCAAAGCTGCAATCGAAAAGCCGTCCCCGGATCGAGATGAGATCAAGAAATTGGTCAAAGCGATCAAAGTCAAGAGGGCTTGGTTTGAGAAGGCTGAGGTGAGGTATTACAAAACTAGCATGTTCCATCGGGTGAAACTGTTGCAATGGTTAGTGGAAACCAAAACCAAGTCAATGTTAGTGGCACTTTTTGACTCAACCATCTCATGTTGCTACAAGTTTGTAGGGGATTGGAAAAACATGTGTCAAAGTTCAAAGTCTGACCTACTCTTCTGGGATGCTATACCTCATCTCCCTGAGGCATCTGCTTCTGGCATGATTCGAGGTGGTGGTGGCAAAGCAAAGGCGAAGGCCAAGGCCAAGGGAAAGAGCAAGGCCGAAAAGGCTTCTTCGTAGAGTCTTACTTCTTTTGAGGTCTCTCACCGTGAGAGCTGGTTTTGGGGTTAGCTATGCTCATGCTGAACATGAGCAAGGGTGCGCGCGGATCATTATGGATCAAATTGCGCTGACACAAGCCACGCGAGAAAAACATTGTTACTTGCGGTGTTTGAGTTCCATCGGCACAATCGTTTTCACAACTCTTGTCCTCCGACCTTGACATTGCCTCCTCATTGCCAATATTGTAACCCTAGATTTTCTTGTGATGCTTGTGCTGCGCAGGTGAAGCTACCAGGAAAAGACAACGGTTCGGGGCTGGCGAAGCTACTGTCGACAAATTGATGGAATTGGTTGGGAGGGGTGAGGCCCACATCAGCACTGCTGCTGAAATTGCTCGAGTAATACGATCTGAATTTGATGGTGCTTCAAAAGGCATTCGGAATCTAGCAAGTTGCGGAACTGATGGGAAGCATGAAAGCAACACAGAACGTGATTTCTGGACCTGGGCAAAGGGTGCCTATGACTTTCATGTGCAGCCGTACCCAATCAGAGTTTTACTCCAAGTATCTTGTTGACAATGGTTCCCACAGTTTTTGCAAGATTTTTTTCCAAAGTTGTTCGAACAACATTACCAAAACACCAGCCATTGCATCAAAGGCTCTGCTCCCAATGCCGCCCAAGGTAGAAACGAACGAAGATCCTGTGGAGTGCACGGCAAATGTGCTCTTACCACATGAAGTGTTTGGAGCCCTGCATAGAAGGGATAGAAAGCAGGTGGGTTGTTCAAAACCAACAATGTTTTCCGATGCCTTTTTAAATACGACTTAGATCCAAAACCCTGACAGTTCCATGCGATGATGTGCGGAAACCATGATGGTCAATCAATACGATCGTTCTGGAACCATGTGAAAACATTGCCAGAGTACAAGCACCATCCTATTATACATTCTGCTTCTGATGATGAGCTCATGAAGTTGATACCTTGTTGCGTTCATGCTGATGGTGCCGGAATGTTTCGGGATGATGAATTTTTCATTGTCAACTGGAGCTCTGCGTTTGGGGCTGGAGGTGGGCAACACTGTCTTGTCAGCCGATACCCCGTTTCAATCACTGCAGAACGGCAAATGACACTGGAGAGCGATCTTGGGTTTGAGCTTAGCAAGTTATATGCATCCTCTTGTTATCCAAAACTGGGTCACGTCCCTGGTGTCATACTTCAACAGGAAGAATTGGTTTGGCTTCCATTCAGAAACAAGTAGACGAGATCTTGTGTTTAAAGGTTGATCGATATACATGTATCTATGTAGACTCTTAGACAGATAGACAGTTAGAAAGATAGGTATGTATGTGTATCCATATCTTAAAAATGAAACAAGTATCCGTGCTTGCATACATACATAGTAAAACAAATAGATGAAAGATGGAGATAGATGGATGGATAGATAGATATATTTACATAGATCTTTGCAATATATAGTCAAAGATATGGTCCCTGTGACCCCTTGGCACACTAAGGTTCGAGAAGGCATCAACAAGACCGTAGCTGAGGTGATAGCATGGTCACTGCATCATGCTGCAGCTGGCCAATACCCCGAAACAGGGTTCTATGGAGAGGCTTTTGACAACAACACATACCGACATCATCTGAGAGGGAAGCCCATAGCTGGAAGCTTCAAGTCTCTAGTCTAGATGAGATATCTATTTGCCTGCGCACCCCCGAAATTTCAATCCGAACAGCGGGATCTAACTAGAGCTTTCTTTTGTTTTGGGGGCCAACTAAAATGTCAGTGAACCTTGTTTGATTTGCCCCACTTGACATCAACCCACCCATGGTGTGCCAACAACAATGTATCGGTTTTAAAGAATGCACCAATGGGTTTTTCCAAACGCTGGGATTAAGGCTATGCTGGTTTGGGTTTAAAGCCGACCTCAAAGCACGATGGCAGTGCCACCTCCTTTCAGACTACTACAGATGCAAAAAACTGTGTGATCGTTGCTCAGCAATTCAGCCTATGACCTCGGCACCTGAGCCCATGACTTACAAAAACATGAGCGATGATGCCCCGTATGCAGGAACTTGCATCGACCATGATGCCTATGTCAGGACTGCACGTCGGCTTACCCCATGGTTAGCTGTGGAAGGGTTCCAATTCGAGCACATCACTTTTGATATGATGCATCTAGTCTTCCTTGGGGTTGCTCGCAACCACGTGCCATCAGTTCTCAAGATGTTGAAACTGTTTGGGTTCCATTATGAAGAAGGGGAAAGTGATGAGAAGTTTCTGCAGCGCGCTAGCATGGAGATGAAGCAAGATTGCAAGGATCATGGGTTACCTAGAAAGAAGAATTTGGTTGGTAGTTTTATCTGTTTTATTTCTTAGAAATTTGGGGGGTTATGACCTTTGTTTGCCTCTGTGAATTTCCCAAAGTAAGGCTCTACCTCCCTAGACGGCTTCTTACAGTGTCAAACTGCGGATCTTTCGGGCAAGATGACTACTGCGAGTTGGGGTCGCGCTTCAAAGGCCAACACATAAAAACTATGGTTTGGTGGGTAGCCCAGAAAGTCCAAGAGGTCACCAGAGGTTCGGATACTTACGCAGCATTCATGTCGCCTTCATTTCAAGCTCAGCTGTTTCTAATTTCACCACAAAAGGATTGTTTTACCGCCCCTTAAAGATGCATATGCGTTACATTGCATTTTTGGAAGTTGACCAGTTGATGCATGTTCACATCCATCAGTGAACGAACAAACAGTGTCCCATATCTTCACATACAATAAACTTATGTGCATATACTGAATTTAGCAAGATACACATATTCACATCAATTATGTTGCAAACATACATATATATATATATATATTTATACATACATACAGATATGTATATATATATATATATCTATCTATCTATCTATCTATCTATCTATCTATCTGTAAATACCGCTTCCTCGTACTTCTATATCCACTTCAATCAATCTATCTCTTTATCTAAAGATGCAGAAGTATATGACTATTTCCAATATTAGATCAGCAGTGCCCACCCACAAGATGCAGGGCACATTTGTTTTATCTTTGGAGACCCTAGTGCCCCAAAAATATATCCCTTATTTTAAGTCCATGGCCGATTCACCAAGCGTCTGAGGAAGATCCGATATTGATCCTCCTGCAGCTTTGCACGTGGTCCTTGGCCAGGGCCGTCGAAATCATGGACTCTGGAGGTTTAGTTTTCACGGCTGGTGAGGCGACAGAACCATGGCAAAAGGATCCCCTGAAATCAGAAAGGTTTCTGTTCCCAATGTTTTGGTCTGTTTGTTCAACTTCTAATAACATCATGTTTTCAGAAACAAGTTCAGGTTTATTGTTGGTGATTCACACTTCTAGGTTCCGAGGGGGGCATGAGAGCTACTCTGATGAGATGGTTCTACAATTATACATCCAGAAAATCAGGCACCAAACATACGAACAGATACGAATGTGCCCACTCAGGAGTTTTCTAAATTGCTCCGTCTTCACCTGAGATCTACTGAAGTCCTGGCTGCATACTGCTGGAACAATTTTTTTTTGTGTTTCAAGCTTCGTCCGAAGCACCATTGCCTTTGGCATGTTGCACTGGATGTGGCCAGAAACAGATTAAACCCCAAGCTGTTCCACGTTTGGGACGATGAGAAATGGTTGGGGTGTGTCAAGAGAATAGCAAAGAGATGCCACGGGTCAACGGTCCAAAAGCGGGCCATGGAGCGGTACATACTTGCCCTGTCGCATTATTTGCATACATATGGGGATGGCTGATGCAAGCAACACGTTTCCAGAAAAACAAATGAGTATATAGATTTTTCAGGTATGTTTCATTCCCATGTCTACGTATATGTGTATTACTATTTGTCAATTATTGACATAGATCTACATACGCAGTACCACCAGTGTGAACACAATGAATGCGTCTGTGTGATTGCAAATGTGTTGCCATCCGCAAGCGTGGTTGTGCAGCTGTGGGCTGTACGCAGCCAAGATGCGAACTCGCAAAGGGAGCAGCAAATTGGCCAGGGGAAAAAGCAGTTAGCTCAGCTCATGGCAGAGCAGGGGGCGCTGTCAAGGATGCAGCTGGTGTATCACTTGGCCCATTGAGATTTCTAAGTTTGAGAAACCAACTCTCTGGTTGTTATTTTGTTACTTTTGTTATCCATGTTTTCCAATGGTTGATGTTGAGTGGTTACTCGTGTACAACCCCTTGCATGGATCATGAATTCCTGTTTGTGTGTGGGTACCCGGTTTGGGGTATGTTTTACTTGTGGTTTTGTCAACCATCCATTGTTTCAAAAACAGCCATAGTGGTATATACAGAGCCAAGAGGGATAACGATGCAGTGCAAAGCAATATGAACCCAAAATACCCAACACTCTTAGCAATATGAACCCAAAATACCGAAAGCAATATCAACCCAAAATACCCCAAAGCAAGTTGTTTTGGGGTTTGACCCACACAACCCGGGAAGATCAACAGGTTCCAGTTGCTCAGGTTTAGTCTTTATCACTCTTAATCACGCTGTGTATGACTACATATACCCCTTTATGCATTTCAAACTTAGTATATCAGCCGCGGTAATGCGTAGAGTATAGCGAAACTATGATAGGAAGCCGTTTAGGCTCAAGTCTTTTCACTCCACACACTTGCAAGAGTTGCAGTGCGCACTCTTCAAGCTGTTGCAGCAACCTGTAGTAACTGATGCAGTCGCAAGACTGGCAGTGCCCGAACTAAGGCATAACCACGAACGACAATTCCTTGTGTCGAGTTCGATCGCAAGCATTTCCGCTTGTGTGTCGTGAAAGCTACTGGCTTTCACAAGAAGTTGCCTTAAGCAATGCTTCTTTACGTTGTTGATACCCTTTTGATTTTTAACCGGGCAGCATTTAACAACAAAGGACATGCACATGTGTCGTTGGATCACAAGCGATCCCGTTTGTGTACCTGTGTCGTTCGGCCACAAGCGCTTCCGTATGTTTGTAAATATATACGTTGATTTTTTTATTTACTTTTGTTTTTTTTAAAAACGACCTTTTGTAAACGCACGGAAGCGCTTGTGATCAAAGGACACAAGTACGCAAACGGAAGCTCTCTTGATCGAACGACACTAAGGACATGTCGTCTGTTGTGAAAAGATAATTTTGAAAAACAAAAGCTAAAACATGTGATGATCAAAAACATTTCCTGAATTAGCAGCGCCATTGATCATAGATCTTTCTTAAGTTTATTGAATTTTAGTTGTTCTTTCTTGTCAAAAATTACGCTTTAACAACAAACGACATGTCCTTTTTGTCGTTCGATCACAAGCGCTTCCGTTTGTGTGATTGTGTCGTTCGTTCACAAGCGCTTCCGTTTGTTTACATAATGTCGTGGTGTTTTGTTCAAGCTTTTGAAATAAAAGTTGCTGGATCATTATAAGGTTTTCAAGTTTATTAACTTTTTGTTTTTCTTTCTTGTCAAAAATTGCGCTCTAACAACAAACGACATGTCCTTTGTGTCGTTCGATCACAAACGCTTCCGTTTGTGTGATTGTGCCGTTCGATCACAAGTGCTTCCGTTTGTGTGATTGTGTCGTTCGATCACGAGCGCTTCCGTGTGTTTCATGATGCTGCATGTTGAATGTTCTCAAGTTTTGAGCATAGATGCTTTACATTGTTGAAAATTAATATTTTCAACCTTGCAAGAACTCAAGCTTAACTACAAACGACAACGCCCATACATACGACAGCGTCACATGTCGTTTGTTGGGAACAGTGTCCTTTGTACATCGTTAGATCCTCTAAGCACCGGACTGTCAGAACGGGTACGGAGGATTGCCCGTGAAATGGATCCAACCCGATTCCATACGGAAGCCCCAGAAAGCAGCCGTACTCCTGCCTGTGGGGAGATGGACAGGGTCTCCACGCGGCCCGTCAATCACGAAACATTACGTCCAAGACCCCAAGACATGGCAAGAGGTCATGAAAATGGTGGACGACGTCTTCAGGGGAAGTTCCCAGCAGCAGATCACTCTGAGCCCGGGACACGACATCCGGAAACAGGTGGAACTGCTCATCCCATGGCGGGTGGAAAGGATCCAAATCGCCAAAACACCAAGGGCGCGGCGAATGCCAACTGATATCCCATATACCCACAGAGCCAACATCCTACTATACAACGACGATGACCTGGCCTTCGAGTCAGAAGACGTCGGGAACGTAGCGTTCCCACGGCAGCGTTTCTCCAAAGGAGTTCGATACGCTATCTGTGTGTATGTGTACGCGCCGCAAGACCCAGATGAGGAACAGCCAGTGTACGATGGTCCGCCTGACGGCCACTCACTGGACGACCCCGAGATTCCTCCTGAGGAGGTCCGCGGGTCCGGTATCACCATGCCAAACTGTAAAGCCCCCCGCGACGTTAAACGCGCGGTAGCGAGGCTTCACGTCAACTTACCCTGAGGGTCCAGGGATTGAATTTTTTCAATCTTATTGAAAATCTCAATAAGATTGAAAAAATTTTCAATCCGGATTGAAATGCATTTTTTTTCAATATTTTGTTTCAATATCGGTTTCAATCCAGATTGAAATGGATATTGAAAATTTTCAATAATTACTGAAATTGGAGATTGAAAAAAAATCAATAATTATTGATTTTCTTTTCAATAATTATTGTTTTTTTCAATGATTATTGATTTTTTTGCCATATACATTATTGAAATTTTTGCCATATACATTATTGAAATTTTTGCCATATAGAAATTTAATAATCATATAGTTGTTGCTGCAGGAAGGCGCACATCTTTTTGCTCATAATGCAAGCACTGGTGACACAGAAGCATGGCCTTCTTGCAGGCCTCCAGCTTGCCTTTGGCCATGTGCATGGCCTTTTTTCAAGCCACATATCTTGCTTGGCTTTGTTTCAAGCACCTGGCTGGCCCAAGGTCATGGCATTGGCTTTATCTCAAGCCATATCCATTTGGTTGAGCCTGAGCTGAAGGCCTAGCAAATACTTTTCACAAAAGCTCTCGGACAGCTTTGTGTTTTTGGTTCCATGGCTGCAAGAATGAGCCACTGTTGCCATGCTGCCTACCCAAGATTCTTGCCTGTATGTCCAGAAAGTCTTGGGATTCTGGTATTTGCACATCTGAGCTAGATGGTATGCCCAGTGAAATTTGGGTACCAGCTGGAACAGGCAGTCCTGTGCGACATGAGCTTGCAGCCAAGCATAATGCTGCAAGCATCTCTGCATGGCATGCAGAGCTGCATCAGACTGATCCTCTGTCATGAAAAAGTCTGCGTTTGCAACGATGTCATAGAACATGGCCAAGTGATGAAGACATTCTGCTATATGGCTTTCTTTCAAGCCTCCTGTCTCTTTGGCCTTATCCCAGGCCACTGATGCCAGCACAGGCACCAAGTGTCTGATTTCTGCTGCCTTCCCCTTGAGCAGTGGTGCTTGGCTCCAAGGGTGGTCAACATTGCTGAATTGGGAAAGAAAAATATTGGTGAATCTTTCGCTTACTTTCATGCTTTTATACTTGTCTTGGATTTGGTTCCAGGTTTGTCTCATGTTCTTGGCTGCCATGGCTTTGTCACAAGCCTCTTGGTAGCACCAGGTATGCAGCACACTGCCGCAAAGCCTCTGGCTCACTCCTAAATCCAAAGTGTGTAGAATGTCAATACAAGGCCTGTAGCCAACCACACAGCCTGGAATTTTAGTCAACAAGGGGTGGCTACTGGGGTGGCTTTCTTTCAAGCCTCTGGAATAATGCAAGTGCCATGATGGTTGGCCTCTGAAATCCCAAGGGCTTTTGTGTTTGCAGGTCCTGTTGGCATCGCAAAGCCAGCAGAAGGCTTTTCTGTTCCAATGAGGCAATTTCAGGGTGTTGGCATAATATTCCAAATCACCCAGGTAATTCCAGACATAAAATCGGAAACCTTGCTCTGTTCAGGGCTTGCCTGCCAGGAGGGCTAGGGTGCCTTTCAAAGGTCTCCCTTTCCAATCCTCTGTGGGGTGGATGCCTTTCCACATGCTTTGAAAGCTCCATGCCAGCACATCAAAGACCTCAGTCCAAGTATCTGCTGCAGTGGCTGCCTTGGGCCATGCTGCAAGGCAAAAAGAGCTGTCAATCACATGGCTTTGTTTCAAGCCTCCCCCTTTTGTCTCTTGGCCTTGTTTCAGGCCTCCTTCTTTGCCTTGGCTTTTTTCCAAGCCTCCTTTTTGGCTTTGTTCCAAGCCTGCTTGCATGTCTATTAATGTGGTGAGGCAGCCTCCAAATGAAAAGATCAGCAATGAATCTGTGCTGAATTCGACTCCATCTCCATGCAGCCAAAGTGGGATAGTTTTCTCTTTCTGCTTCTTCCATTCTTGTGGCTGATTGGCTTTTTCCCAAGCCACAGGGCTGTCAATCAACCTTGGGTCATCTGCTTTGATCTGATCCCAGAACTCTTTGGCCTTACTCACCCCAAAGCATGCATCCATCAACTGGGGGTAGCTGGCCCCCCAAGAAGCGACCTTCAAGTGGGGTAAGAACATGTGAAACTCTGCCTCTGTCTGGCCAGTCTCCAAATTTTTCTGGTCCTTGGCTGGAACCTTTAAAGTTATTTTAGGGCTTTGTTTCAAGCCTCCCAGGGATCCATTGGCAATCTTTTTCTGGAGTAGCCTCAGGAGGTCCCTGTGGATGTTGCTTGTGTGGACACCATTGCTACCCAGGGAAGCAATCTCTGCCACATCCTTGTGCCTCAGGCCATCTTTGATAGCTGCTTCTGCCATGGCTTGCATGGCTGCTGCTGAAAGTTTGCCCTTGCCCCACAAATCTAGCATCCTGTTTGCTAGGCTGCTTTCAGATTCTTTCAAGCATTTGGATTGGCCTTGTTCCAGGCCACCACTTCTTCTTCTTCTCTTTCTTTCATCTTCGACCAATTGTAGTGTCTGCTTTACACCTACCATCTGTGAGCCAAGACCCTTGCAGATGAACATGCATTAACTCCTATGCTGCCCTGCTTCCAATTGCCATGTGCTTTCAAGCCACCCCAGCCCAGCTGCTTTTTCTTTAGCTGCCAGTGTGTCGCCTGCAGAAGCTACAAAACTTTCCATGTAGAGAGTCCCTGCTGCTGTCTTGGCCTTATTTCAAGCCTTTTTTGGCTTTATTTCAAGCCTCTGCTGACTGCAAGATCCTCTTGTGGGTCTTCAAAAACTGAGCAGCTTTCACAAGCAAAGCCATCAGTGCTTTGTTTTTCTTTTCATCCACCATTGCCTGCTCAACTTCCCCATGCAATTTTTCAAGTTTCTGAAGGCTTTGTTTCAAGCCTTTGTGTTGAGCATGCGTTTTGGCCATTTCTCTGGTAGTCTTAATTTCTCCTGCCAACAAGGACACCATCTTCCTTGTGTTCCTTTTGGCTTCTCCCATGTCACAGGAAGACAATTGATCCACAGTCTGGTTGAATTTCTGCAACTTCTCTTCAAATTTCTTGGCCTTGTTACAGGCCTCTGAAGCCTTGGCCTTGTCACAGGCCTTTGAAGGCTTCTGGGTTTTGTTAGAGTCTTTTGAAGGTTTGGCCTTTTTCCAGGCCTCTGGAGATGCATCCTCAACTCTGCGCCTCTTGCCAGGTGCACTACTGCCAGCCACACCCAGCTCAGCCAGGAAGACTGCCATGTCAGTTTCTGACTCATGCTGTGAGGCTGCATCCAGAGCCTCTGACTCTGTCAGCTGCCAGTCTTCTATGGATGCATTCTTTTTGTCTTTTCCAAGCCAAGCAGCATCGAAGAAATCTTCATCAGCAGCCTGGACACTCTTCATGGCTCTTGCCAAGGTTGCTCCTTGTTCTTCAGTTGTGGTTCCACTGGAGCAGCCTGTCATTGCTTGGTTGCCGCCCCTGCCCATTTTCATCTCTTCTTCGACCTTCAGGAATTGGTAGAGTTTCAGGCCTTTTTTCCAGGCCTCTGCATCCTTTCTCATCTTGATCAAACCAGCTTGCAGTCTCTGGATTGCTTCATCCTTGCCATATTCATCTGTTATTTGCTTCCAAGACACCCAAGAAGTGCTCTTTGTGCTTTCCCAGCCCTGCTGCACAGTCTGCTCAATGCTGAGCTGGCTTTTTTTCAAGCCTCCTTTTATGAAGGCAAGCAGCAGGTTTTTTTTCTTGTCCTTTGTTCCAGGACCACGAATTGCTTTCCATTTCAAGGCCATGTTTTCTGACCTGCTGCTTTCCATCATCTTGAACATGCCTTGTCTTTGTTGATGGCTGAACATGGCAAGGAACTCTTCTTCAGTCAGCTGGCCTTCTTTCAGGCCTCTCACAGCATTGTGGTAGGCCTCATGCTTCACCAGCTGTCCAGCGGTCAGCTTCCCAAAGGCTCCTGGCTGTTGCTCCTCATTGCTTGCTGGCTTTGCTTCATTCTTTTTCTCCTTAGGAGCTTCGTCCAATTCTTCCTCCATCTTGGCTGCAGGCCTTTTTGCCACCAGCTTAACACTTTCTTTCTCTTTCTTTGCTGGCTTTTGAACTTTTTTCTGCTTCTTGGGACTCTTTTTCTCAGGTTTCTTTCTTGCCTGTGGCAGTGACTGATCAGGTCTGCTGCCTGTTGGCTTTTTTTCAAGCCCCTTCTTCTTTTCTGCTGGCTTTGTTTCAAGCCCATCCTTCTTCTCTGCTGGCGTTGTCTCAGGCCCATCCTGGTCCCCTGCTGGTTGTGTCTCAAGCCCATCCTGGTCCCCTGCTGGCTCTGTCTCAAGCCTCTCCTTGTTGCCTGGTGGCCTTGCTTCAAGCCCCTCATATGATCTGGTTGGCTTTTTTTCAAGCCTCTCCTGTGCCCTTTCTGGCTCAAGTTCTCCTTGCTCCTGTTTCTCTTCCGGCCCTGGCTTTGTTGCAAGCCCCTTCTGCCCCCCTTCTGCTGAAGCCTCAAGCTTCACATGTCCTTCCATTGCTTCCACCCCATCCTGGCTACTCTTTGTTTGGGGAGCCTCTGGGGGTGCTGCCTCCACCATCTCATCTGCGGTATGGGCTTCCTCCTCGCCTGCTTCCTGCTGCAAAGCATGGGCCTCTGAAAGAGTTGCCATCTCTTCGCTTCTTTCCAATATCTGGCTTTGTTCCAAGCCACAGCTGTTGGCATAGTATTTCTGGAGGGAAGCATAATGCTTTCTCCAATTTTCTGTTCTTTCTTCGCTGCCTGGGTAGTCTTTCCTACCTTCAGGGCTCCAAGGGAAAGATGGCTCTGCCTCAGCTGCTACAGCTGAAGCTGCTGCCTTTTCATCTGCTGCAGCTGGCCTCTTCATGGCTTTCTTTCAAGCCTCCCTTAGAAACTGTTCTTACAAAGCTATTTTTTGCTTGAAGCTTCAAAAATGGCTGCAGGGACACATTTTGCACAGCAGTTGCCAGCTAATTCTACTACATGCAGCTCCACAAAAGTTTTAAGTGCCAAAGTAAAACTGAGTACTTGGGGTTTTAAAAAAAGAGAGCTAGAA